GGCCAGGTCCCTGGTTAGGGACATAAGAGAGGCAACCGATTAATGTTTCTCTCACACACTGATGTTTCTCTTCCTTTCTTTCCCTCTCCATTCCCCCCTCTCTAAAAAATAAATAATCTTTAAAAAGGTTTCTGCAGGTTTTTGCACCGCTACTTGTATTGCATTTGGTATAATTCTTTCCTGAAGCAATTTGGCAAAACGTATTAAGGACTTTTAGATGTTCATTTAAAAAAATTAATAGACTTTATAATTTTTAGAACAGTTTGTTTAAAGAAAATTTGAGCAGAATACACAGAGCTCATATAAACTCCATCTTCCCTGGACCCTACAGTGTTTCCCATATTACTAAGATCTAACATTAGTATGGTACATTTGCTACAATTGTAATTGGTTATGAGAAACATAACCAATGACCAAACATGTAAATTCCATCAGTGATTACTTTAGTAATCTTGGAAAAACATTTTAATCACACTGTATAATAGGCTTCTCAATCTGTTTTTCCTTGTGCACAATAATAATACCTCTACCCCATTGTTGGGAACCCTGGTTTACTACCTGGTTTCAGAAACTGTAACCCTCCATGGCTAAGGCTGAGTGAGAGACCTTGAGACCCTAAGCCACTAAGGAGTCAAAGCTTATCTCCCTGGCAGGAGCACCGCCTCTGCCCACTTTAATTCATCCTGCCTGGCTCCCAGTGCATGACCAGTTATCCAATGATGGTAAGATTCCTCAAGGAAGGGATGACCCAAGACAGGAAGGGCCCTCGGGGAAGGACTTGGGGGCTATGGAGAAAAAGGGTGATGGACCCTCGCCCCTTGGCTTTGACATAGCCTGAATCCTCATTCTGTCTGCAAGAAGTCTCCTAATCTCTTGGCTGCCCAACTTTCCCTGCTCAACCTAAGCCTGAAACAATGCTGGAGGTGGGTGCAGCCCTGTGCTGGAAAGGGTGGGTTCCCCTGGGGCGCTCAGGCCTAAGAAAGAATGCATAAAATTCTGTGAAACCTGCTTTGCTAATACCCTCAATTTAAATGAGAAGGGTCAAAAAATGAAGTGAGTTTGTTCCCCAAAATTTTAGTCCTTTAACTATCTGACCCTGACTCAGAATTAGCCCTCAGTGTTCTCTGAATCTATTATCTGTTACTATTGTTTAGAGTTCTATTATCTATTGTTTGATCATTACTGCCTGACAATCATTGATGAGCTTTCCATATATGCCCTGTATTCCTATGCAAATTAAGCCAATAAAAGCCTGTCAAGGCAAGGGTTGGGGCACTGTCCCCTTGAGAGAGTGGCTGCACCGTCCCTTTTCCTGCACAGGACATCGGTGGTCCATGTGAATTTGTCTCATCTCATCCATAACACTGAGGACACTGCAGGCCGGTGTCTACATCACCCTATATTTATAGCCCATCACTTCCAGAGCTAAAAGCAATAATGTCAAGGCCAATCTAAAAACATAAAGAGCATGCCATGTCCTGGTAGCTCGGTTGGTTAGAGTGTCATCCCCATACCCCAAGGTCGTGGGTTTGATCCCCAGTCAGGGCACATATGAGAATTGATCAATGGGTGCATAAATTGGTGGGATAAGTTGGTATTTCTTTCTCCTTACTTCACTCTCTCTCAAATAAATTTTAAAAAAATATAAAGCACACTTTCAACTCTATAAAAGGCAAAGTCTACATAACTCAGAGATATTTATATTTACATAAAACTGTAGGCATGTTATATATACAAAAAGAAACATCAGTTATTATGTCTAAGCCCAGAGTACAAAGCTAACACTATTTTCTGAGAAACACATTACAGCTCAAAATAAAAAGGTTGTCTAAAAATGTAATGGGAGAGAAAAAAACCCTCAACTTCATTAGTAATTAGGAAAATTATTAAGATCACAATGTGATACTATTATATAACCACCAGACAGGCTAAAATGAAAAAGATACCAAATCTCACAAAAATGTGAAGCACAGACTTCCAGCCAAGATGGAGGTGTAGGTGGAAATACTATACCTCCTCGCACAACCAAATTTAGGAACAATAAATATTTAAAAACCAGAATGCAACCAAAACAGAGAGAAAATTAAACTATACCGAAGTCTGACAACAACAAACCATTCATCCAGACCGGTAAGAGGGGCGGAGTCAGCAGCTGATAGAGGGGGGTCGCACAGGAAAAAGCAGTCAGACTGACCCAGGCACCCAGGCAGCGGTTGGCAGATCCTGGGCAGATCTGTGGGGTGGCAATGGGCAGACCCAGTGAGTGTGAAAGGCGGCTGGCTGACCACAGTCACACATTTACACGCAGATAAAGCAGGCAAAGGAGCGAGCAGTGAAACAGACCACACAAACCAGGACCCCAGTGCCGGGAAATAAAGGCACCAATTAAAACTTTTGGGGGTCTAGGTGGCTAGACCTTAGAGGCTCACAGAGAGTTCGTTGGAGAGACCCACAGGGTGCACAAGCCCACACATCTGGGAACTAGCACCATAAGGGCCCAATTTGCTTGTGGAAAACAGCAGAGGTGACCGAAATCCAAGAGACCAGAAAAGAAAAAACGCCATTGCCCCTCTCTGACCCTGCCCCCCACATACAGAGTCACAACCCAGTGACCTGCGTTGCCCCACCCTGGTCAACACCTAAGGCTCCGCACCTCATATGTAACAAGCGCAAACAGACCAAAACATTATGGCTCAAGAAGAACAGCTCAAAACCCCAGAGCCAATACTTCTAAGCGACCAAGAGACAGCCAACCTATCAGATGCACAGTTCAAAACACTGGTGATCAGGATGCTCACAGAACTGGTTGATTTCAGTCACAAATTACATGAAAAAAATGAAGGCTTCACTAAGTGAAGTGAAGCAAAATGCACACAGAACCAAGACTGATGGGAAGGAAACTGGGACTAAAATCAATCGAGTGGACCAGAAGGAAGAAAAAAAATGACAATGAAGAAACAAGAATTAAAAAAAAAAATGAGGAGAGGCTTAGGAACCTCCAGGACATCTCTAAACATTCCAACATCCAAATTATAGGGGTACCGGAAGGGGAAGAGGAAAAGCAACAAGTGGAAAAGTTATTTATACAAATAATAAAGGAGAAGTTCACCAATCCGGCAAAGGAAATAGACTTCCAGGAAATCCAGGAAGCTCAGAGAGTCCCAAAGAAGCTGAACCGAAGGAGGAATACACCAAGGCACATCATAATTACATTAGCCAAGATTAAAATGAAAAAGAGAATCCTAGAAGCAGTAAGAGATAAGGGGACAGTCACCTACAAAGGAGTTCCCATCAGACTGTCAGTGGATTTCTCAAAGAGACCTTACAGGCAAGAAGGGGCTGGAAAGAAGTATTCCAAGTGATGAAATCCAAAGACCTACAACCAAGATTGCTCAATCCAGCAAAGCTTGCATTTAGAATGGAAGGGCAGATAAAGTGTTTCTCAGATAAGGTCAAGTTCAAGGAGTTCATCATCACCAAGCCCTTATTATAGGAAATGTTAGAGGGACTTATCTAAGAAAAAGAAGATAAAAAAGATGAACAGTGAAAGGACAGCAAACTCACAGTTATTAACAACCACACCTCAAACAAAAGCAAACTAAGAGGACAGCTAGATCAGGAGCAGAACCATAAAAATGGAGATCACATGGAAGGTTATCAACAGGGGAGTGGGAGGAGGAGGAGTAAGAGGAGAAGGTACAGAGACTAAGTAGCATAGACGGTAGGTAGAAAATAGATGGGGGGAAGGACAAGAATAGTATGGGAAATATAGAAGGCTAAAGAATTTATAACACATGGACATGAACTAAAGGGGGGGAATGGGAGGAGTGGGTGTGCAGGGTGGAGGAAAATGAAGGGGGAGAAATGGAACAAGTGTAATGGCATAATCAATAAAACATATTTTTTTAAAAATGTGGAGCACTGGGAACTCTCAAATTCTGTTAGAGAACCTATAAATTGGTATATCCACTTTGGAAAACAGGTGCACATTATTTACTATGATTAAAGATTTATACACTAGAACAGGGGTGTCAAATTCATTTTCACCAGGGGCCACATCAGCCTCACAGTTGCCTTCAGAGGGCTGAATATAATTTTAGGACTGTATAAATGTAACTACTCCTTAACTAGGGGCAAGGAGCTCAGTGCTGCTGCTGGGTAGAAACAAGGTGCTGGCCAGATAAAACAAGGTGGAGGGCCTGATTCGGCTGGGGGCCTTGTATTTGCCACCTGTACTCTAGAATTCAGCAATTCTATTCCAGATATATAGCCCAGAAAAACTCCTGTACATGTATACCAAAATAAGAATGGTCATAGCAGAATTGTTCATAATAACCCCAAATTGGAAGCAATCTATATTATTCACAAACAGCATAATAAATAACATTGTTCATAATAACCCCAAATTGGAAGCAATCTACATTATTCACAAACAGCACAATAAATACATATGGATTATTGAGCATTATAAGGCCACTGTATAAACTACAGCTACATACATAATGCTGACTGAAAGAAGTTACTGAACAAGAAAAAGATACAGTATGACTTCACCTATATAAAGTTCAAAAACAGATAAAACTTCCGATATCATTTGAGTGATCGGCTAAAAGGAAAATCAAGGAAACCATTATCACAAAACACAGAAGAGGTTGTTGCAAGGGGTGAAAGGCTGTGATCTAGGAAGGACAAATGGCAGGCCTCTGAGAGCTGGCAATGTCTTACCTCCTGACCGAAAGTGGTTACATGGGTATTTGCTTTATATTCTTTAAGTTGTTCATGTGCATTACACAATCTCTTGTGTAAATTTGATATACTCAGATAAAAACTGTGTGGGGCTACCTCTTAAGACAAATGTCCCATCACATGATATGCTTAATCAGAACTAAAGGTTCACATCAGAACTATAATAGCAGGAATTCAAGAACTGGTCAGGAATATGAACTAGATGGCCAACAGAGTCCTGCTGATCTACATATTTTATGGCTCTATTTTCATACCTTGTAACGATGATTTTTATGAACACTATTCTGGAAGCAGTCCATACAGAGTACACATGTTGGATCAATTGCACAATCTCTGAAAAAAGATTAAAAATCAGATTCCAAAATTTAGATTCTTCCCACTGATGCTTATGGTATGACTACAATGTAATGTGGATAAGTCTCTTATATTGTCCACAAACTGAACATGAAAATACTTCAAAATCAGAATTCCAAATAATTTTGGTCTCATTTTAGCTATATTTATCCAAGTGTGGATATGTGGTTTTGTTTCTTAATTCACCCTCATTACTTTGAGCTTGCAAGTTTCAAACTGTTAAGCTACAACTCAAATTTAGTTTTGTGAAAAATGATCAGCTTTATAAATTATTTGCAATCACCTCACCCTATTGTATTTCTAAATATAATTAATAAACACTGTTCATTGTAAATGAAGCTTGGACAAAGAAAAAATTCATTAGAATGTAAGTATCATAAGGGCAGGAATTTCTATTTATTTTATATGTTGATATGTCCCAAGCACCTAGAACAATGCCTGGTACATGGTAGATATTCAACTAATACTTATTGAATGAATGAAATTCAATCTCTCTTAATCTCTTTCCTAATAACTACTTTTAAAATGTACTAGTTAAAAAAATAAAAATAAATAATAAGATGTACTACTTTAACATTTTCTGGAAACATTAAGATCAATATACAGTAAGTCCTCACTTAATGTCATCTATAGGTTCTTTGACTTTAAGTAAAACAACATATAACAAAACCAATTTTATAATAAGCTATAACTGATGTAAACAAGAGTTAAGTTCCTATGGCATCTCACCAACATTGTAACAAACAATGTTGAATAAAGTGTTATTTGAGGACCTGCTGTAAATCAGTGCAAAATAAAAAATTAATAAAATATTGAGAAGAGTTGAAGAGAGAGAATTGGGAAGTTTTAAAAATGAATCTTAAAATGCCAATAGGAAATAAAGATTGTCTAATAATACTCTCTAATATATATGTAATGTACTGACTTATTTAGAGCAGGATTTCTAAACCTTAGCAGTAATGACATTTTGAACCAGATAGTTATTTTTTAGGAATAGAGGAGGCCATCCTGTGCATTGTCAGATGTTTAAGCAGCAACCCTGGCCTCTACCCACTACTACCATTTCCAAAGTTGTAACAATTAAAAATGTCTCCATGACACTTTTGGAGGAATGAGGTCTACAAATGACTACTATGCTTTAGTTGAAACTGACTGAGCTTCAGCTAAAAATACATAAGATAAATGAACCTTCCCATGCTATACAGAAAAACAGTACACAAAATACCTAAACCGCCTTTTTCCTAAAAAAAAAAAAAAAAATTGGATAATAAGCCCTGGCTGGTGTGGCTAAGTTTATTGAGCATGGGCCTGCGAACCAAAGGGTCGCCAGTTTCATTCCCAGTCAGGGCACATGCCTGGGTTGCATGAAAGGCAACCACACTTTGATGTTTCTCTCCTTCTCTTTCTCCCTCCCTTCCCCTCACTCTAAAAATAAATAAATAAAATCTTTTAAAAAAGATTTGGATAATAAGACAGTATGTTCTAAACAGCTAGTAAACTATACATAAAGCAGTCAAACTTGTAATTATAGTGCAGCAAAAAACAATCCGCTGTATTTATAAAATCTAAAAAGTCACCTTCCTAACCTAAACTACCTCTAATAAAGTGGGGGGGCGGGGGACTAAAAGTGCTGCTACGATCTACAAGTTGAAAATTTCAGGCAGAAGTAGGGAGTAAAAAAGTTCTTCGTGCTACCATGGCATTTAAATCAACTGCCCTCACAAAGGGCAAAAAGCTTAAAACCGCTTCCAGTTTTCATACCACTGGCCTCCCTTACCCAGCAAAATTCTAACTGTCTCTACAGGTCCATAATCTTTTGGCACCAAATCTCACTTGGTAGCAAAAATAATTACTTGAGATGTCATTAGACTACAGACTTTATTTATACCACTTGCTGTGAATATTCATACATTTCTTACAGAAATGCTGTGTTTGATTATAATAGAGAAGTATTCAGAATTCTGAAATACACCTGGCCCCAAGGGTTTCAAATAAGGGTATGTGGACTACATAAAAAGGCCAAAATCTACCACACACATTTTTGGAGAACATGAAGAAAAAAATGAGAGAACTATTTAGTTATGTCATACTAAAAAACAAGCTATACTAGCAAAAACAGACTTATCAGTGCATAATAAAAGTTAAGTAGGATTAAACATGTAATAAATAAAGCTAATACATCATGAAACAAGTACAAAATATCAAGATTGTAATTTAATCCTGTAAATTCTAATTCTTACCTACAAGAATATGTTGTTTCTCCACTTTTGAAAACCTTACCACAGAGTTGAAATGCTCCACTATGTTTTAATTTCTCTAAACAAATATCTGGATCTTCTCCAAATAAATACCATTCCAGTGGAGTGAATATTGACGTTTGTATACTTTCCTCCTGCTTTTCCAAGTCTGGGTCCATTTCAGCCAAATAAATTTCGGGCACCAATTGGGCCAAATGGTGCAAGAAAGCAGTATCAAAGTCAACCTGCTGATCCCACCACTGAAAGAAAAGGAAAGAGTAGACTTTGTTGTAAATTCCTTCTTAAAAATCTAGGGGCACCAGTAATGGCACAGTTCTGTAATTTCAGAGAAAGCGGTTTATAATGTATTCTTATTTTATTCTTGGTAATACAAAAAGAAGTAGGTGATTAAAAAAAAAAAAAAAGAAAGAAAGCCTTGGAGCCCTGCTGGTGTGGCTCAGCAGACTGAGTGACTGCCTGTGAGCCAAAAGGTCGCTGGTTCGATTCCCAATCAGGGCATGTGTCTAGGTTGCAGTCAAGTCTCAAATTGGTGGGGTGCAAGAGGCAACCCACACATAAAGATCAATGTATCTCTCACACATAGATGTTTCTCTCCCTCTCCTTCTCTGTTCCTTCCCCTCTCTCTAAAAGTAAATAAATAAAATCTTTAAAAATAAAAGTCTTGCAAATAAGTGACTGCCCACATATACCATAGAATCTAGAATAAAGAACAGCAGCTATAGTGGGTAAAAATTATCCTTCCCTTCTGGAATGGCCAACTTTTAGTGTGTAAAGGTGATTCTATTATTATATTATCAGTTCAAGGCTGTACAAAGCATTTCCCATACTCTTAGGTTGTTTTAGGGAACCATGTATTTAGTGAGAGAGCAAAATGAATGAGTGCCAAAGAGTTTTTAGAACACAAAAAGCATTAACCATAAAAGACAAAGAGGGAAAAAAGTAAAATCTGCTCTCCAAAAGAAACTGTTATGGATGGCTTATATGCCATGCTTATTTGCACATAAGAACATGCCCAACATTACTAGTCCTTAAGAAAATGCAAATTGAAATGACAGTAAGATCACCCTACATAACCTATGAGAATGGAGGCAAAAAATAAAATAAAACAAAAACTGGCAATACCAAGTATCAACAAGAATGAAGAAAAGTGGAAAAGGAAAATGTGGTAGGAATTCAAAATGGTACAGCCACTTCATAAAGAGTTTAGCAGTTTCTTATAAAGTTAAACATACACTTACCATATGACCCAGCAGTCAAACTCCTGGGTATCTACCAAAAACTAAACTAGAAATGATGAATTATAAACTATAATACATCCAAACCAAGGAATACTACTCAGTAATAAAAGGAATAAATGCAATATCAGATTGCATACAATGCATGCAATATCAAAAATGCATCAAAAGAAGTCAAACTCAAAAGGCTGTATCTGCCTCTTAGCAGTTGGGATAAAGTTCACATTGAAAGCATCTAAGTGAATTCAACAAAGGCCAGCCTCTGTGCGAAATACCTGATTCCGTAGTAAGTGGGTGGGTTTAACTGACACTATCCGCGGATTTCAGTCACATCACCATTCTGCCCTCATCTTCAATCAAACAAAACAGCTTTCCAAATATCAAGAAATGCCCAATTAAAAAAGACATTCAGGGATTACTCACTAGCAATTTGGGCAAAACATGAGTTCTAATTACCCCAAAACATCCAACCAGCCGAACATTTTTAATGCCACTCAGTAACAGCAGGCTTAAGTGAACTGAAGTAAGAAAACAGAAGACACTCGAAGGCATAACTATCACCCAACATTGGCAATTTAGCTGCAATTAATTACAAGTAAATTAATATTGTTCATTTGAAACAGATTGGCTTTCTGGTTTTTATTAGTATTTCATGTTTCTCTTACAGCTACATAAAAACAATAAGGCATTTATATCTAGTTTTATATTTTATACATTTAAATTATATTCTAAACTTTAAAAAATATTTCAAAAGGCTATGCACTATATGATTCCACTTATATTCTGGAAAAGGCAACTTACTATAGAGACGGAGGACAACAGAGTCTCCAGAGGCTGACTGTACAAAAGGCACTAATGGAATTTTTTAGAGCAATGAAACTGTTCTGTATCCGTACTACGGTGATATTTATACAACTGTTGGAACCTGTCAAAACTCACAAAGCTGTACAATAAAAAGTTACATAATGTAATTTTTTTAAATGCTCACCTGAGTATATATCTATTTTTAGTACTGTTTTTGAGAGAGAGGAAAGGGGGAGCATGAACAGGGGGCTGGGGGGAGAGAGGTGAGAGAGAGACATGGATCAGATGCCTCCCACACACACCTGACCAGGCATCAAACCTGCAACCCAGGAGTATGTCCCAACAAGGAATCAAACCCAAAACATTTTTTGATATATAGGAGGACACTCCAACCAACTGAGTCACTGGGTCAGGGCACTTTAAGTAAATTTTTTAAGTAAATGAAAAAAAGGACATAGTTTAAAAAATGAAAAGGAGGAACACAGATCCAGAGAAAATACTGTACTTGTAATAATAATCTGAACACTTTCCCCCAAAGAGAAGAACAATGCAAGGATATCTATCCTCTCCTATTCAATATTGTTTTTTAAATATGTTTATTGATTAAGCTATACACTTGTCCCAATTTTTTCTCACTTTTGTTCCCCTCCCCTAGTTCATGTCCATAGGTCGTACATATAAGTTCTGTGGCTTCTCCATTTCCTATACTATTCTTAACCTCCCCCTGACTATTTTGTACCTACCATTTATGCTACTTATTCCCTGTACATTTGCACTCTTCACCCCCACCCTGGTAACCCCTAAGTAATCTTCATTTCTGTGATTCTGTTCCTGTTCTACTTGTTTGCTTAGTTTATTTTTATTTTTGTTTTGTGGAGTTTTTTTTTTACATTCAGTTACTGATAGTTGTAAGTTTGTTGTCATTTTATTGTTCATGGTTTTGATCTTCTTTTTCTTAGATAAATTCCTTTAACATTTCATATAATAAGGGCTTGGTGATGATGAACTCCTTTAGCTTGACCTTATCTGGAAAGCACTTTATCTGCCCTTCCATTCTAAATGATAGCTTTGCTGGATAGAGTAATCTTGGATGTAGGTCCTTGCCTTTCATGTCTTTGAGTACTTCTTTCCAGACTCTTGCCTGCAAAGTTTCTTTTAAGAAGTCAGCTGACAGTCTGATGGGAACTCCTTTTTAGGTAACTGATTCCTTTTCTCTTGCTGCTTCTTATCTTTCATCTTGGGGAATATAATTATGATGTACCTTGGTGTGTGCTTCCTTGAGTCCAACTTCTTTGGGACTCTCTGAGATTCCTGGACTTCCTGGAAGTCTATTTCCTTTACCAGATTGGGGAAATTCTCCTTCATTATTTTTTCAAATAAATGTTTCATTTCTTGTTCTTCCTCTTCTCCTTCTGGCACCTCTATGATTTGGATGTTGGAGTATTTAGAGTTGTCCTGGAGGTTCCTAAGCCTCTCCTCATTTTTTTCAATTCTTGTTTCTTCATTCTGTTCTAGTTGGATTTTTATTTCTTCTTTCTGGTCCAAATCCTTGCTTTGAGTCCCAGTTTCCATCCCTTCAATGTTGGTTCCCTGTATATTTTGCTTTATTCAATTTATACAGCTTTCACTTTTCCCCCCATTTTGCAACCATACTCAACCGTTTCTGTGAGCATCCTGGATACAAGTGTTTTGAACTCTGCACCTGATAGGTTGGCTATCTCCTCATCACTTAGTTCTACTATTGAAACTTTGATCTGTTCTTTCATTTGGGCCATATCGTTTTGTCTCAGAGTGCCTGTTATGTTGTAAGGGTCAGAGCCTTAGAAAATTGCTAGGGTGAGGCAAGCCACTTTGCTGCACTGTGGTGCTGTATGTGGGGGTGGGGTCCAAAAGGGAACAATGACTCTTGCTTGGCTTTTGGCTGGCTTTAAGTCACTTTCCCCGCTACCTACAAGCAAATTGGGCCCTTCTGGTGCTGATTCCCAGGTGGGTGGGCTTGTGTACGTTATAGGACCCTGTGGGTCTCTCCAATGAATTCTCCTGTTAAGATGGGAGTTTCTCCCACTGCTGCAATTTTCCGGTTTTTATAGACAGAGATTTTGAGGCTTTAATTTCCCTGCTCTGGAACCCTAGATTGCATGATCTTTCTTGCTCCCCAATTGTTCCTCCCAGTTTATCCACATGTAAATGTGGGACCACCCAGTTTTCCAGCCACTGCCTTGCTGCGCATCCTCTCTGCCCCTACTGACCACTCTGTCCCTCCTTTTTATCTGGATGAATGTTTCTTCTTTAATCCTTGGTTGTTGGACAACCAAGGATTGTCCATACAGTGGACAATCCATACCGTTTGATTTTCTGGCAGTTCTGGTTATATTTTTAAATTTGTTATTGTCCTTCTTTTGCTTGTGCAAGAAGGCAAAGTGTATCTACCTACACCTCCATCTTGGCCAGAAGTCTCTCAATATTGTAATAAAGTTCTTAGCTAGTGTTAACAAGTAAGAAAAAAATAATAAAAGGTATGAAAACTGGAAAGAAAGAAGTAAAACAGTCTCTATTTACAAATGGTATGATTATCTCCAGAGAAAATCTCAAGGAATTAATTTTTTAAGTATTTTTAAAAGGTTTTATTTATTTATTTATTTTTAGAGAAGGGGGAGGGGGGAGGGAGAAAAGAGTGGGAGAGAAACATCAATGTGTAGTGGCCTCTCTCATACCCACTACCGAGGACCTGGCCTGCAACCTAGACATGTGCCCTGACTGGGAATCAAACTGGTAACCCTCTGTTTCACAAGCCAGCACTCAATCAATCCACTGAGCCATGCCAACCAGGGCTCAAGGAGTTAATTTTTTTTAAATATATAAAAATTGTAAGTGAGCCCTGGCCAGGTAGCTCAGTTGGTTAGAGCATCATCCTGATATGCTAAGGCTGTGGGTTCGATCTCTGGTTAGGGTACATAAATGAATGCATAAATAAGTGGAACAACAATTAATGTTTCTCTCTCTCTAAAAATTCAGAAAAAAAGACTGTAAGTGAATTGAGCAAGCCCACTAGATACAGAATCAACATATAAAAAGTACCTGTATTTCTATATACTAGCAACAAAAAATGGAAATAAAATTTAAAAAATAGCATTTACAAGTACCAAAAAACAAAACATTTGGTCATTTACTCAATAAAAGATGTTAACAAAAGACTGCTA